TAATGTGTATTATTATTACTATTCAAAAGTTTCCAGCTTTTGTAGACATCCTCTACACTGCAGGTAGGGCTTCTAGATGCATACCCTCCAACATTTCTCTGATGAAAATAGGGGTGTCAATAATAATAATAATAATAATAATAATAATAATAATATACCCCACTCATCTGACTGGGTTGTCCCAGCCACTCTGGATGGCTTCCAAAATAATAAAACATTAAACAATAAAAAACATCCCTCTACAGGACTGCCGTCAAATGTCTTCTAAAGGTTATATAGTTACTTTTCTCCTTGGTCGCATAACTCCATACCCTGCAACATCTCTCCGATGAAAATAAGGACGTCTTAAGGAAAAGAGGGACGTTCCAGGATCAGATCAGAAACCAGGATGGCTTCTGTAAATCTGGGTCTGTCACTGGAAAATAGGGACACTTGGAAGGTCTGATCCTGTTGGATTCCAATTCCTACCAGTCCCAGATAGGTCAATGATCAGGGATGATGGAAGCTGTAATCCAACAACATCTGAAAGGCCACAGATGCCCCACCTAAGGAATGGGTGAATTCGTCAAATTTGGTTTCTCTTCTCAAATTTAAGTTCAGCTCTCTTCAGTTCTACACCAGTTTACAATTTGAAAAAAAGAATAAGTCTTCATGAACACCCACCAGCTTTTTAGTGTGAATTGCTCCTAATATTGTATAAATTTGTGTGTGTGCATTTCCCCCTAATATAATGCATTCTGTATCTTATTGTCACTAATATATGCATTCTTAGACACACATTAGCTTATGCATTTTTGTACACATTATGTGGTTGGAGAACTGTAAAATCTAGACAAATGCAAATTTCAAAGGATGGCTGTGTTTTCGTTTGAATATTGATTCAGTTGCATATTGCTTTGGAAAATACAGATTGGGTAGGTCCACCTTCAAACTGAATATAATTCCTCCCCCAAGCCTCCTCTGTAGGAGAAAACACCCCCCTTTTTGGCTTCGCTTGGACTTCCCTATAACAAGCTTTCATTGGGGGCTCACGCCTCTACTCTCCAGTGAAACCAGTAGCTTAAAACCTTTACAATGTCACAAAGGCCCATTCCAGTTCTTTTAAATTAAAGTTAATTCTGTGCATACCAATATTGGCGGACATACATTTCATCTTGTGTTTTTAAATTGAAAACCCCTTTTAAGCAGAACACATTTTTAAATTATAATCAACAATAATAAAACACATCAAACAGCACATTTAAATCCAATGAATCTTAATTAATGACCAAAACATCAGTACATCGCCATGTCTACCCAAGCATAGTCTGCTTCTATTTTTACTCCTATCTATATATACATGCACTTCTAAATTCTAAATGTCCCTTATTATTCCTACTCTAAATTAAATTAGCTTTGTTCATCCCAGAAAAACCTTTGCTTTTGAAATAACCCATCAAGCTCCCCCATCCCTTCTTCAAAGCAGCAGCAGGAGCATTTGGGAAAATATGTAGATACTGTAGTTGAAACTGACAGGGCTTTCTCCCCTGACCAGAAGCAAAGTAAAGTGTTGAGGGAAATCTGTATTGGTGAAGGCAACAAGGCTCTCCCCACCCCTGTTTCCTTCCAGGTATGAAAGGTTGAAATATGAGGAAAAGCTATTCTCAAATATGTGCAGCTCTCTCACACTCTAGATATAAAACAGTGCCACTGGAGGACTAGAAAATAGCCTTCAAGCAGGAAACATCTATCTGTTCATAGTTGTGGCAGAAAAAACCCCAACCAGAAAGTATGAAATGATACTGTAAATTCCTTGGTGGCTAACAATTGATTAAAAACCCTCAACTGAAGTGCATTTAAAGCTACATCTTCCACACATTCAGATCAACAGTGGGAGAGAAGTCTAAAAGCACTTTAAATGGCATGTGTGAAATGTTGCTAATGTTCCTATAAGAAGCACATTCTGTCATTTTTATTTTCCAGCACATCCCAGCCCAGGATGGGTTAGCTAGGAAGCTGAGTGTCCTCAGTATTGTTTTAGATTAAAATAAAAGATGCACCGCTAACCATCTATATCAGACTTTATCTACCCTACACTGGGGGAATGAGGAAATTGTTCACAGTCACATTCCTCATTCCTCTCTCCTCTCACTCTACGCATTGTTATATCATCAGCACAGACTTACTGGTAGCATCCTCAATTTTTCTTTTTGAATTAGGAGTTCAATGCATTCACAAAGTGATTATGTACCATTCTGGCATATGCAAAAGCCTCAAGCAAAGGAACTTTCCCTCCTCACTCTATTTCTCTGGGCCTTAATATTGTGAATCACATATTCCCTGGGCCCCACCTTTGTGCACATCAAATATCTACTTAAAATTCAGGGCTTTTCTTCTTCTTGCACCCATTTGCTGTGAAAGTACAGACACTGCCAATGGCAGCAACACAATTCCATAGAGACAAAGCCCAAGAAACTGAACATATGTGAGTCAACACCAATAAATGCAAAAATCAAAGCCACTCACATTGCAAATTTTCAGCTGCAGCAAACATTTATTAAGACCAAGAAATTGGGCAGCAACACCTGCCCACCTCCCAGCTGCAAAGTGAGAACAAAGGCTGGGGTTCAGGTTTTCTGGAGAGTCTTGGACTATCTCACCAGCCTATCCTGCTCTGGATCAGGAATGGAGAGCAGGCTAAGGAGGGTTGGAAGCTGCTGCCTGAAGTGACTCCAAGCATCTTCAGGCAGCAGCATCCAACCAATCACTCTGTTGCTCTTCCAACCTCCAATTGTTGGAAGGTTTTTGGGTTCCTCCAAGCAGTGGTACCCAGCTGACCACTCTTCCTGAGGTAAGGGGAAAGGTTTTGTGTGTCGTTGCCTGAAGGCACAGTGGTATCCAACTGACTGCTGTCGCCACCAGTATTTTCTGTGGTTGTGGAGGCTTGTATTCTAGGAATATGATATTGAGGGCCAGTTTCCCACAGTTCCTCCCCACATGTTATCACCACCCACACTTTCCCTTTCATTCCAAGCTAGTCATCTTGTATTATTATTGTAATCATCATAAACTTAATCCTATCTTTCTCTATATATACATTCACACACACACACACACACACACACACACACACATCCCCCAATCTCAGCTTGCAAGAACAACATGCAATTGTAAAGCAAATAAAACAAAACTGTACTTTTAAAACAGAAGGAAAATACTACAATATAAAAAAATATACAGTATAAGCAGCAGGAACCATTTGACAACCCACTCAACCCACTAAAAATACCCTTAAAAATAAAATGAAGCAGCTTCAAAGTTAAAGAACAACTAGAAATATTTTAAACCATTAAAAACATGGCAGGACAGAAATGTCTTGATGTCATTCCCTCAACCATGGATGGCAACTTGGTGGCAGAGCAAGAGAAGAAAGGCAGGTGAAAGAGGTCCAGCGGTGGACTGCACAGGACCTGGGCCCCTACTGCTCATTCCACCACAGGAGGAAAGTGCCAGTCTTCAGGCTGGATACTCCTGGAGGACAAGCATCCTTGCCACCAAGGGTCTCACATTCCCGAGCAATACTGGCAAGAAGTGCATATGGTGGAGACAGAGTGCTGGGCCCTAAGGTATTTACAGAGGATTTATATATTCTGTGCACACACACACACACACACACACACACATACACCCCACACAGGTACCATTCTGGAAAGCAAGTAAAAGTGTAACATATCAGAAACCTGTCAGTTTGTCCTTAGACAGTCATCAACACCAACCAGGAATTTAAAAACAACAGTCCAACCTCATCAGTTTATATTTTTTCAGTAAGGTACAGTGTTTCCCAGTTTTTCTGAAACTACACAGAAAGAGACACTTATAAAAACTCCCATAACTTAAACTCTCATGCCTCAAACACAGTTAAACATAAAAAAACCCCATGCTTCTCAGTGACACATTTGGCATCACACCTAGTTTGGCCCTTCATGTGAGAAAAGAAGAAGAAGAAGATGGTCAATGCCAGCCCCACAACTGTGGAGAGTGGGACAGCTAAATCATGACACCAGTGCTGGGAAGTGGCAGGGAGCCAAGGTGTGTGGGTCACGTGGCCTGTCTTGCACTGACCAAGCTAGTGTGTTGCCCCTCGGGAGAACATTATCCCATTGCCAGTGCTGAAATAAGATACATTGTCAGTCCAATCAGTTTCTATATGTGGAAATGGGTAGCAAAATGACCTGGGCAGGGCCTGCAGATGGTGTTGATTTGAGATTAATTAACTCTAAATGGTACAAGTGTGTGATCACAATCCAGAATGAAGAGAAACCTAAATTGAAGTTTGCTTATTTAATGTCAGAGACTCATTTCCACAGTTTTGCAATCCATATGGAGAAAGGCTCTTTGATTCCTTCAAGTGAGATGAAACACTTCCTTGAAGAGTAAATGTAGCTGTTAGTAATCAAGCAGTGGAGCCAGCAAGACACGTAGAGACATTAAGGGAGTTTAAAGCGTCACTGGCATAGATCTTGTTGATGCATGAGAATTTTGCCCAATGATCTCCTATTCAGCTCTCAGTAAAACAAAGTATTACACATTTATACCACAGAGTTGTCCAGAATACTAATGCGCAAGGTATTAAAGGTGTGCTTCCACACAGAAACTTCAGTTGCTGGCAAATAAATTCAGAAGGCTTTCCAAAGAGACAGGGAACAAAGCAGTGGATGACATAGCATGAATCAATCAGTGCTAAGTCAAAACTCATAAGTGTGTGTGTGTGTGTAACTTACTTGCTCTCATGAAAATTGCCCCGTTTTCAGCAACTTTCTGAACAGGGATGAAAATGTACCCCCTTTGAACTGCAGTACTTTCACCTGCACATGTATTTGGATGTGCATCTTGATGCAACATCAGAATATAGTATAGGAAGCTGCCTTATACAGAGTCAGACCACTGGCCTATCTAGCTTATTGTCTACACTTACCAGCAGCGGTGCTGTCTTTCAGACAGGGGTCTTTTCCAGCCCTATCTGGAGTTCCTGGGGAGTTGAACCTGGGACCTTCTGCATGCAAAATAGATGCTCTACCACTGAGCTACAGCACTGATAAGGTGTGCCAAGGAATGTAACTTCCCTTCCTCAGGCAGCAGACCATAATGGTGGTGACCAGAATGCCTCCCTTGCAGTTTGTCTGGCTGGGGGAGACAAGGATGAGGTTCGGGGGGAGGCACCCCATGATACTGCTTTGTGTCTGTGGAAGCAGATGTCCTGCTGTCAGACAGCTTCCCATTTAGTGTGATGGCACCCAGGCTAGCAGCAACAGCAGGGTGGTGTGAGGAGCCCATGTCTGCCACTCATGTTGCCACTCCTTCTACAGTCTGGCCTGTGAAGGGCTCAGGCCACACCTGTAGCTGCGGCTCCTGATGGCATGCTGCTGCCATACCTCCTTGTCCAACGGGCATGGCACAGGTCACACCATTTTGCCACTTGTCATCCTACCTCTGAGAACTCACCCCAAACAACCCCATGCTCCAGAAGGTGCTCCTGGGGTTGCATCACCTGGCCATGGGGACTTCCAGCAGGACATGGACTGGGGGGGGGGGTTCCCTCATCTCCCAGTCCTCTACCAGCAGGAGCCTGCCAGCCTTCCTGGGTGATATTGGGGACCCAATGAAAAGAGTTCAACCAGTTCCCACAGCAGGCTTCAATGTCATTCTGGGGGCCCTGAGTGGCACATTTGTCCTAGTCTTTGCACCTTCAAAACAGCCTCATGTGCATCCCACAAAAAGCCTGCCTTTTGCCTTGAAACTCGGGCATTGTGAAAATTCGTAGTAGCACCACCCTAAGTCTAAAGAGACATATTTACAGAAATCACTGTAAAAGAGTTCACCAGACAACTCTAAATTCTCTGTCCTCATGAATTACATTCCAGATCATAACAAACTCCCCCCACCCCACGTGGATCTAGGGCACCTTGGCCTAACAGCCGCAATCTCCCTGCCAATGTTTTGTGATGAGATAGGTGAAAAGAGCAGTGTTACCGTTACTCAGTATTTTTCAGTGCCCCATCCCAAGTACACACTGATGAGTCTCTGAGGAACTATGCTGCCTAGCTCCAATGAATATTAATGAGAGACCACATTAAAGTATCTGAAAAACTCTGTGCGTACCATACAGAGCCTTTGCCGTTTCTGAGTCCTGGGTGAATTCCAGCTAATCCTATTTGGCGAGATGAAGCCGTCAGATAGCTTAGAAATAATAGTTGCTTTTGAGTCGGGCTGCTGGTCCCAGAGATCAAATTTGAATGAACAATATTGCAGCATAAGCGCTTAGGAACGCAAAGGCATGTCGATCATTCCCATCCCAGATACTTTGTGCGATGGAATCATCTGCATTCAAGCAGCTGGGGCGGCATTTGACTTAAGCTCTCCTCTTCCTTCCATTCAGTCAGTGTTTATATCATTACCATATAATGGCCCCGGGCTGCATTCTACTAGCTAGGCTGATCTGTGGTTACACTTGTGCATTAGTCATACTTTGGAAGAATCACTCATTACTGTAACATCCCCAGATTCACAAGGAGATAAAAATCTGATGATTGCTCCACAATTTATTTTGTTGTTCCTTTTTCATTATTAACTAGATGCAGAAACTTTGGAAGCAAATCAGAATACTGATGCTGGCTTTCCTCAAGGCCCTTTGCCCAGAGCCTCAGAGCAAAAAATGTAGCAAGAGGGGAGGTGCATTCTTAACCCTTTGTTGAGATGACACACTGCCACAGTTTATTTGCAAGTAAACTGATGCATAACGGAACTACAGGGCACTGTGTGGTCTCTGACCAGATGGGGCAAAGGGAAGCCAGTGCCAGTCTCATCCTTTACTTAACAGGCATAAAGTAGAGTCACGGGGCAGATCCGGACATTACAACAAATATGAAACTGATGTTGTCATGTGACTGCTTCTTTGCTCTTCCTGTTAACATCTACAGCTGCAGCATTCCAGTTGTGCCCAGTGTTTCTCTGCCCTTGTTAGGCTAGGAAAGGAAAACACATGGTGCAGTGATGCCACAGTAGTTGTTGTGCTGTGCAACACATTATCGGAAAGAGGGTAAGAAAAAAGCTATGGAGCTGCAGCAGCTCCAACATTGCCCCAAGACATTTTTCTTCCAAGAAGCTGATAATGAGCCAATGTGGTGCTGTGAATAGGCTGTTGGAATGAGACTTGGGAGACCAGGGTTCAAATTTCTACTCAGCCATGAAGCTCACTGGGTGACCTGGGGCCAATCACTGTCTCTCAGCCTTCCTGCCATGCCTACCACGCCTTGAGCTCCTTGGAGGATTGGTAGGAGAGAAATTTAACATTAAATAAACATAAGCCTTCATCTGCAAGACTTCTCTATTCAGCAAGCACATTTGTGCTTGCGTGATGAATATCCTACGTTAACTTCCACACCAGCGAAATTCTTCTTGAATTCTTTAAACAAGGCCTGCTGAGGTTTAAACTTTCAGAGCAACAATTTTGAAGTCAGTGTGATGTTCTGAAAAGAATGGTTATAGTTTTAAATTTCAGCCAAGTCCAAAACTTACTAGGTTGCCAAAGTAATTGATTTCCTAGTTTGAACTCATTTTTACTCTTATTGTACCCTGTCTCCCAGACACCACTTAGAGATGACTAAGTTGAAACAACCAGTGCTTTTTTCTGGGGGTACGCACACCCTAAATATTTTGTGAATCTTTGTACTTTTGTCCATTTTGTGTATTTATTTCCCCCGATTTGAACTATAAAATGGTATTTTCTTGAGTCAAAATGAGAGCACCCCTAAACATTTTTTAAAGAAAAAAAAGCACTGGAAATAACTAACTAACTAACTAAATATTATTTCCTCATGTTAAATGTTGAGGAGAAGTGAGTTAAACACTGCAAAACACTTAGAACTATTTAAAACATAAAGCCTGCTCCTGAGGTTTTCTACATGTAATGGGTCACCAAGAAATGAGAGGCAACGAGGAAAGAGAGAGAGAGAGAGAGAGAGAGCGAGCGCACACTATCTAGAGGTAACATTTAAAGGTAAAGGGACCCCTGACCATTAGGTCCAGTCATGGCTGACTCTGGGGTTGCGGCGCTCATCTCACTTTATTGGCCAAGGGAGCCAGCATACATCTTTCCGGGTCATGTGGCCAGCATGACTAAGCCGCTTCTGGCGAACCAGAGCAGCGCACGGAAACGCTGTTTACCTTCCCGCCGGAGCAGTACCTATTTATCTACTTGCACTTTGACGTGCTTTCAAACTGCTAGGTTGGCAGGAGCAGGGACTGAACAACAGGAGGTCACCCCGTCGTGGGGATTTGAACCGCCGACCTTCTGATCGGCAAGTCCTAGGCTCTGTGGTTTAACCCACAGCACTACCCGCGTCCCAGAGGTAACATTCGGGAGAGGGCAAAACTTATTTTCTACCTCCCATGACTGGGTGGATAGGCTTGGTTCACACGAACAGAGCTCATGCAGGAGAATACAGTGTATATTTGCATGCAGAGATTATTTCACTTCTTTGTGGGTCCCATCAGTACACCTGTTCTCTCTTCACTAACCACCACTCATCAGGATGATAAATTCTTTTGTGAGTGATAAACGATAATAGGAACTCACAGAAGAGGAAACCTATGGCACTGATGCTTTAAAGTTCTGTAGAGAGCTGCAATGACAGGATGATTTAAGCAAGATGGATATGGTGTTCCATCCCTTTGACTAATAATGCCCAACTTTCATTTTTGCTCTGGTAGATAAAAAATAAAATAAAAATATGAGTGGCTCTGTTTGCCTGGCATTGCCTGGCACTGCAGAAATCTTATTCCCCATTTAAATATTGCTTCTATGAAGGCAGCTGCTCCCTAGAAAAGTCAAGATCGTAATAAACACACCACTGAACAACAGAAAGTGATGCTATTTTGTAAAGAAACAAGTCATTAACACACTAAAGAGAGACCGTAAAGATGCCTGGATGTTCACTTGCTGCTAGTAAGATTAACTAAAGCTAGATACCAGAATCTTTTGGAAAACATAAAAGTTGGCATTAGAATAGTACCCTGACTATGAGCTGCCAGGGTAAGAGTTGTCAGAGTAATCCTCTTAGTTTTTACAGCCCCCAATAACTCTTCCTTGGGTGTATGGTCCACAAACCACATTCCTCTTTTTACTAGGCTTGTCAAAAATGCAGAGATAAAATTCTGTTTTCCCAGCCTCAAGCTGTGGATTTCTGTAGAACATTCATCTGCATCTCTGAATCCCAGCCAATTCCATTTGTGTTGCCATTCCTTCAGATGTGATCAATTTCTCATTTCCATGCAAGGCCCGAAATGAACATGTGTGATTTGCTTCATGCTTGCACTGCTCCTGTTATGCAGGAGGGTTTTACTTATGTTGTGAGACTAAAAATGCTTTGATTTCTGCCAGCTTCAATATGATATTAAAACGTTCAATACTGAATGTTTTACAGAAAAGCTAAAATGGAAAGTATGCAGAGATTACATAAATGAGCATCACATATTCTCACAAGCATGACTCATAAGCACATTAAACAAAAGCAATGACAAGTTTAGGAATGTCTGCCAGAATTTGCAGATCAGAAGTAACTGCTGAATATCCAAACTGAATTCTGCTTTCAGTACTGGTAGTGCCTTAACAATTCACTTTATTACTTTGGAGGGGAGGCACAATCAGACATGTGCCTCTGAGCATATAGAAAGTGTTGCTCTCTCATCCCTGAGCAATTTCATCCTCCACACAGGTAACACAAAAATGTGTTCCCCTCCATATAACTGTCTCCTCATTTTTCATCCATCTTCATTTAAAGAACAAAATTAATTATTGTTTATAATTCACCCTTGCACCCTTGTTGTGGGCAAGCAAGGTCTCTTTGTCTCCTCATCCCCATTACTTAATTAATGCAAGGTTTCTGCCAAAAAGTCTGTTTTCAATACTAAGTCCTATAATATGGGGAAAGTACCTCTGAGCATGAACAGAGTGTCTTTCCCTCACCATTGAATAGCTGCAGTCTCCATACATACCAGCGGAATCTTTTTAAACACGTTCTTTTTCTCCCACA